TATGCAACACCAAAAAGGGGGGCTTACAAGACAAGGCAACAGCCTCCGAAACCCTCTGGGCCGAGGTGATTGCCACAGGCAGGGGACTTTTTGATGGCTAAGTCAGCTAAGCAAAGGCTTGGCTTGTATGCCAAGGCCAGTCCAGAACCACCAGACTGACTTGTATTACTAGTATAGACTATGTTTATTTTGCTTTATGTCATAATTCTCCTTTACCTAAGTTCCATAACTATTTTTTTTTCCTTCCCAGTAATATTTTACATTTCTTAATTTTTATTTGTTTTAGTCAATCATTTTAGTGTCACAATAAAAAAAATGCAGGTACTCCAAGTGACAAGACAGCACTAGAGGTGACATCTTGAGGTTTAACACCCACTCAAACTAATCAGAGTGTGCATGGCAATGTTCAGATTTGTGTCCATTGTGGCAGACCTGCCCCTGGCCGATTGGTCATATGCTTCCCCACATGCGATAATTTACAGACCACCCCACATCCTTGAAGGACTGTCAGAGCTGAATCCGCATTGAGTTCTGCATGTGCTCAAAAGCTAAGCTGGGGAGACTGCAAAAATCTACAATATCCAGCCTGTCACCCAGCTCAGCTGTTGATTAGAGAACACGTGAAAAAGAAAAAAAAAAACACCCTGCAAACAGAAAAACTAAAATACCCAGCAGGGAGCTAAGTCCTTACTCCTCCACGCTATTAAAAAAACTGGGCTGATTGTAGCAGATAGGTGGTAGCGTCTTACTCCTGCAGGTGGCAATATAGAACCCATAAATTCGAGATTAAATCTCTCCTATGTCCTTCAATGGATGGAAGAGAAATATGGGCTTCCACTGTCGACCGCCTAAAAAAAAAAAGCTAGTTGTGTGGCCATCATGTTCAGTCAACAGTTTAAAGAGTTTGAATCACTTATTTAAAATAAGCATGCATATCAAAAAAGTCAGATCTCCTAATCTGTATACTTGTCAGTGCGTCAAATTGACTGCCAAAGAATTAGTATTTTTAGAAAAAGAACTCAGCAATAGAGCCCCCATACTTTCTCAAAAAAGGTTTCCATTAACAGCTTGTCAATTAAAAAACAAAAACGTTTTACATTTACAATGTGAATAATATGGGTTTGTTTTAGATCTGTAAACATCCATGGAAACAAATTGATAGGCTCCTATGCTATTATATATTATATATTGACAGGATCCCCTCCCCATATTATATATTGACAATATTCCCTTTACACCAGCTTGGAAATGTATTATGAATGCAAATCCTGTTTACCTAAGCAAAAACATTTACACATTATGAGTAAATATCTACAATGTGGAAGTACAAGACATGAGACAGCTTTATTCATGTTAATTTATTGATAGAAATATTCTTTAAACAATAAGGAAAAAAAAAATCCTCATTTTTAACATTTTAACATGTTTTTCGGTTTTCCAAGCACTTCATCCCAGTCCCTTCCAACCCCCCACTTGACCGAACAAAAACAAAAAAAAACCCAAAAAAAGAAAAACCCAAACACTCTGCACACTCATCTCATGCACGTCTGACCCTGAGCACACACCCTACCTACTGAACGCTCACACCATAAAAAAATACATGAGACAAGGAGCTTTTTATCC